CGAAAACAAAAGAAAAGGTCCAAACGTTTTTAGGAGCTCAGCCTCTGGGCCTGAATCTGGCCCTGGCCCTAGAAGCGTGTACCTGGCCACAAAATGGACAACAGTACACCCGTTAGAAAAACAGCAGCAAATAAATAAAATAAAGACTATAACAATAATCTAAAGCTGGCGTTTTTCTGATGCAGGCCCAAGTAAAAATGYCATAGGGCCTTCAGGTTGCGGTGACGCGACCTGGGGGCCCTATTCCAACCTCGGGTCCCGTGAGGGGCCCGTGTGTAGGCTTTCAGCATGTAACAGAGAGGCTGGGGAAGGAAGGAGATGAAGGTTTGAGGAAGAAGAAGGAGATAGTTGGGCAACACATGTGCAAGAAGAAGGATAACTTCATCAAGATTGACACCTCAACAGCAAGGCACAAGAAGAAGGTAAGTGAGAATAGGAGGAGGTGTTCCCCTCCTTCTTCTCCTCCTTCTTCTTCTTTTTCTTCTCTTTCTTTTCTTCATTTTCTTCTTCTTCTTCTTCTTCTTCTTCTTCTTCTTCTTCTTCTTCTTCTTCTTCTTCTCCTTCCTCTTCATCCTCCTCCCCCCCTCCTATCTCTTCTTCCTCTTCATCCTCCTTCTACCTTCTTTTTCTTATCCTTTTACTTCTTCTCCTCTCATAAATACTATCCTCCCCCCTCCCTTCATCTTCATTTTTCTTCCTTCTCTCCATAGCTAACATCCCAAGTGTAGGAAGGGTAGGAAGCAGCCCCTCCACTAGTAATTGTCTCTAAAATGACCATTTCTTCACTCCATGATAAATCGTCACTTTGTACTTTATGATTTCAAGCTTGAAAGTGAATCTTACCGACTCTCACCCCATATTTTGCCTTATTCTTCTCTTGGGGATAAATCGCTACGTTTGTTCTTACTTATTCAAGTGTTTAGGTGATTTTTTCCTCTTGAATTATCCATCTCTCACATGATGATATTCCGATTCAATCTTGTTTGCTTCCATAGCTTCATGCACACGTTTGAGCTAGTCTCACTCATGTGTATCATCCATCTCTCACATGACGACGTTCCAAATTAATCTTGTTTGCTTCAATCGCTCTATGCTCATGTTTGAGCTAGTCTCACTAATGTGTATCATCAATCTCTCACATGATGATGTTCCGATTCAACCTTGTTTGCTTCGATGGCTTCATGCACATGTTTGAGTTAGTCTCACTCATGTGTATCATCCATCTCTCACATGATGATATTCCGATTCAATCTTGTTTGCTTCCATGGCTTCATGCACATGTTTTAGCTAGTCTCACTCATGTGTATCATCCATCTCTCACATGATGATGTTTCGATTCAATCTTGTTTGGTTCCATGGCTTCATGCACATGTTTGAGCTAGTCCCACTCATGTGTATCATCCATCTTTCACATGATGATGTTCTGATTCAATCTTGTTTGCTTTCATGACTTCATGCACATGTTTGAGCTAGTCTCACTCGGGTGATCATCCATCTCTCACATAATGATATTCCGATTCAATCTTGTTTGCTTCCATGGCTTCATGCACATGTTTGAGCTTAGTTTCACTCATGTGTATCATCCATCTCTCACATGATGATATTCCAATTCAATCTTATTTGCTTTCATGGCTTCATGCACATGTTTTAGCTAGTCTCACTCATGTGTATCATCCATCCCTCACATAATGATGTTCTGATTCAATCTTGTTTGCTTTCATGGCTTCATGCACATGTTTGAGCTAGTCTCACTCATGTGTATCGTCCATCTCTCACATGATGATGTTCTGATTCAATCTTGTTTGCTTTCATGGCTTCATGCACACGTTTGAGCTACTCTCACTCATGTGCATCATCCATCCCTCACATAATGATGTTCCGATTTAATCTTATTTGCTTTCATGGCTTTATGCACATGTTTGAGTTAGTCTCACTTTTGTATATCATCCATCCCTCACATAATGATGTTCCGATTCAATCTTGTTTGCTTTCATGGCTTTATACACATGTTTTAGCTAGTCTCACTCATGTGTATTATCCATCTCTCACATGATGATGTTCCGATTCAATCTTGTTTGCTTTCATGGCTTCATGCACATATTTGCGCTAGTAAGTTTCACTCATGTGTGTCAACTACTTAAATCTTGGGGATTGCTTAGTTAAGGACTTACGACGTGGAGCTGTCGAATTTGCCGCTCCATCCCTCAGGTAACAACTACATTTTCACTGTAGATTCAATGCTACAAATCCTCATTTCTTGTCATTCTATGTTAAGGCGGGTGCCGCTGCCTCCTGAAGCTGCAGTCAAAAAGACAGGAACGACAACCGTAGAGAACACAACTATTCACAAAAACTTGGATTCCTACCCTACTACTGCTGATTGAGCATATCTTAAACCTGTTTCGGGTATCCAGAGTCGTCCCTTTCTACCTCCTCTCTCGCCTCTTTGGCAAAGTATATGGACAATCGCGCCTTTATTCCCTGAATACACTTGTCATTCCATTGCTCCACCGGGACTTGTCTACCGAGCAGACAACCTGCCACCGCTCCCGTACCTGACCCCATGCATCCATCTAAGATGGACGACCCTTCCGACGAAAAATATGTTATTATCCACTTATACAAATCGACTGGTTTCTGGCAAGGGCACACCACCATGGAATCGGATGGCAAGACAAACTTGTTGGTAACGGCCAGGAAGGAGACAACATTTCTGCAACCGTCGTTTGGTCCAAAGTAGCAGTGACCGGCCTCCCTCCTCCCACTCTCACTGTGGTAGCCGAAGACGAACAGTTGAAAGGATTTAGCAAAACAGGAGGCTTGACCAAGCGGTTTTTGTACATTGACCTGATCCCAACAACAGACTTCGACACCCGCATTACAGACCTCCTCGAAAGCACTACGGACATCAGAGCAGCATCGACAAGGAGCAGAAGTTGACCACAGTCCAAACGGGCAAGGACGTCATACACATGAAGTTCTGAATCGCCGTCAAAACTTCTGCTCGTGTGAATGCCCTATCGTCATTTAGCAAACCCAGGGACGCTGGACCCGCAAGGGAAGTCAAAGATGGCGAGGGAAAATGGCTCCTGTTCAGCAACTCTATACTTCATCTCTAGCACGTTCGCTTGCAGAATTTTCACGATACCGCATCCACGCTCCTTCCTGCCCTCCTCGACTTCAATAAGAAACCGTACCCAATCATCATAAGCATCTTCCAACGCCATCCCGGGATAACCACCCACCTGCCACCTAAGTTCCTGTGTCTTCCACTTCAGCGCCCGAGCTATCAGGGATGCCATATTCGCAAGGATCACTCCTCCGGTCCCTTTGGCACTCTTTTCAGTGTCGCCAAAACACTGCTCAATCATCGGCTCTTGAGTGTGAATCGGAAACTTCTCCTTTGCATCCTCCCAAGACTCGCTGTTCGTCCCCTTCACAAATGCATCGATGGCTCTGTTCCGCCGCTTGATCCTTTCAAACTCCTGCTCCATCTCCTCGAGACTGAGCTCCCGATCACGAACCTTCTGCAGTACCTGGATGACGTCATCGTCATCCAGCGCTCCCATTTGAATCCATGGAGTGACAGGCATGTCAGCAGGCACTTGTAAGACACCATTACTTGTGGTGATGGCTTTTGGACTTCTTCCGCCTACCGAGTCCTGCGCGAGGACACTGCCATCCGGCATCCTTCGCACCCTTTCAGACATGTAGGCCGAATGACCAACCATTCCATCCTCCGACGCGCCCACTGGAACCCAGGGACAAATCGCCAAGTCTGCGTCCTGAGCAAGAGTGCCATCGTCCCTCTCACTGACAGGCAAAATTACAGGAACGCCTTCCACTGTCGACGATGGGGCTTCCCCCACCATGCACCCATCACCCAGCCTCTCCCCCAGCCCTGCACTGCTGTAGCCTCCTAGCTTTGCTAGCTCTGCCTCATCTGTTGCACATCTCAACACAATTTTCAACCCAGCGATGCCCTTCTTAGATACTTCACCCTTCTTAAATTTCTCACCCTTTACCAAACCTGCCTCCCACATATCAAATATTTCATTCTGCAGTTCCCACACTCTGGGGGACCTCATGCAAATCTGTAGTTGAGGATCATGTCTGTTCACACTGGCTACCTCCAAAGCCACAATCCCCATGTCTCACAGACATGCTTGCTTCACCTCGAACCTTTTCTGACATCCATTTCTCTCAAACACACTCCTCCAGCAACGCATCCTCTCAATGAACGATGGCACCTTGTAGAAATCCCAAGCAACAGATTTAAACCACCATAAGCACCACCATCATAACCAACGTTACCAGCACGCAAAGCACTTGCACACTCTTTCTCCGCACCATGGCTAGCAGTGATTGTCTGAATGCAAACTGCCAAGTGACCAGCACATACGCCTCAGGCTGAAAAACAAGAACGGCTTCAAAATCAACGCCAGAACCATTCTCAGTCATTGCCTATCGGTACAGCATCAAACATACAAAATGCAAATGCATTGCACAGTGACACACGCAGGCAACTATGCTCGAGCCACGTATGCCACACAGATGCTAGCACCAGAAGCACACTTAACGACAGCTCAACCCAGTCACACTAGCTAAGATTTGAGGCAGCAAGGAGTGGGGGAAAGCAATCCACACCTCAAAGCTCTACTTCTAACGCTCACGAGGATACCAACTCACCAAGACACACTGAGCTCGAACCGTGTCATCAGGCCTCATCACAGTTGTTTGCCATTACAGTTACGACAATAGGAAGGGCCAACCAACCTCAAGGTGCAGCGAAGAAATACACTCTGCAAGTCCCTAACCAACCTGCGAACAATGGTTCCCAAGAAAGGAAAAGGGAAGGAAAAAAAAACAATGGGTCCACGCTTTACGAATCACTAAACAGCAAAGTGCCACCTGTCACTGTCACGCAGATATATCCTGCAGTCTCCATCTCACCAAAGGATTGAGAACGTGCAGAGCACCATAAGGCCCATAACAAACCACAAGTGAAATCTTTGAATCGATTAACAATGAAGATTGTCTGGCCTGCTCAGAGATGCAGTACAGGCTTTCCAAAACGGACACATTCGTTCTATTTGAGTATAAGATGCGGTGGAAGGTCCGGATTGCTTTCACGTAGAGATCAAGGTCTCGTTGAGGAGAGCAAAGCAAATCTCGCCGCTGTGAGGAGCCACTGTGGACAGCACCCTTGCCAAGTCGTCAATTTTTGTGTTCCAAAATCCAACTCGGCAGACTACTACGAAGCATCCCAGTGCCAGGCACCCTGCCAGAAAGTGCCTTATTTTTCCACCTCTAGAGCCCGCAGCTGGAGTGCATACCACCACCCCACATCAAATGCGATTTGGAACGGCTGGGCAAATACAGCCTGTCATCTGCCACACTGTGATGATAAAAACTAAGTTATCAATGCACTGCTGCATGCCGTCCACAAGCTTCCCCAATATGCATTCAACTAAAAGAGTTCATAAATCTTCAATTGCTTCTACACTGACTTACACAAACACGTCGCCAACAGTCAAACAGGATGGTGAAAAGTCTTGCAAACGCCAACCTAAACTTGACAAAAAAGAAAAAGCCGAAGGCTACTCTGCAAACCCCCAGAGTTCCCTGTAGAGAAAGTCGTTAGAACTTGAAGGATATTCCATGCAATGTTGCACAAAAGGAGAAAAAAAGGGGTTCTACGTGAACACAACCACTTTGTTGGCACAGAACAGTATATATCTGCTAAGTCGACTTTCGTCATCCCTGCCATCTTCCCTCGAACACAAAAGCACCCTGATTATCGATGTACCAAACCGGAAAGATAGCTTGCATACATTCATTTTCAGGGTGCATTATTTTCGGGAGAAGACGGTTGTAAAGACCATACCAATGCCAACATGACATGTTGAAGGAGAAGAAGAGGGACCATCTTCTGGATGCCTGTGGCCAGGCATCATTACTTCTACGGATATGCCCAGATAGCATGAATAGGGTTCGTTTCACGACCAGATTCGAGGTTGCTTAGTGTTGACGTCGCATGAATATGGTTCGTTTCACAACCAGATTACCTAGTCTTCAGCCCGCATATTCCTGGAGGCGGCGCATATTCTATCTTTTCACCAACCTTGTGCAGACTGCCGCAAAAACAATTACTAGTCCAGGGTGACAGATCTGATTCACTAAGGCGGACTCGCAGATTGTATGATCATCATGGATTACGAAACTTCAGGTGGTAATACCAAAGGGCCTACCGTCTTCACCCGAATAGAACGCCCGGTCATTATCACTGTATATGGACCACCACTCGGCCCAAATGCAGCTATAATGACCGGGTGTTCTATTCGGGTGAAGACCGTAGCTCCGTTGGTACACAGTGAACTACACACACATGAACTGTTTTTGAAATACAGGCCAACTTCCGAACCCGGATGCAATAAAATAAAAAGAAAGGGATATTTCAAATTGAAGATTGGAGGAGTCCATATGACCCTTCTTACCTCTCGTTTTCGTTTAACAGCATCTTCAAGCTGTGTAAAATACTCCAATGGCTCACCCTGCAAAGCCATAAAACCAATAAATTCCATTCGAGGTTAAAATTTGAAATTACACCAAGTTGACCATTCAAACTGTAAAACTTGTGCGCGTGACACAAGCCATCTGATCCCCTCACTGGTTGAGTACGACAACAGGCACCTCCCGCGGCCTAGCATCCACCCTCTACTACAAACATGGTCCAGTTTTGAAAAGAGAAAAAAAAAAAAAAAAAAAAGTCCGGTTGCAAACAGGATGATGTATTCAAACTGTATTGTGTACGCAATTCGCTTTGATTAATGCGAGCAAGAAGTTCTGTAAAACTTGCTCGCATTAGTCAAAGCCCAAAACATTCAAAAATTGCATACACAAAATAGAATCGTTTCCGACGAACGTCACCAAACATACAGGATAATGTGATGTAGTAACAATGCGAATTCATGTATAAAATAAATAAATAAATAAATAAATAATCGTGTTCGTTAGCCACCACTGGGTCCACTACCTTTCAGGCTGTAAGGCAACGTCGTAAAAATATAACCTACACCACATTCTTCGGAGGCCGGCGGAGGCCGGGCGCTACCGGACCTAAAAGACGGCCGGCATCAGCCAAAAGAAAACAAAAAATGTTGCACTGGCACTTCTGCCAAAGCTTGGGCGCGCAGTTCTACTCCACCTCAGCAAAAAGAGCCTTGGAAATAGTGGTGGTTTAAACGAAGACAGCGCAAATCTTCAACAAAGGCATGTCCGACAGGTGCACAGGAGTAGAAAGAGAAACACAGAGGTATGCTACGACTGGTCAGCATTTAGCTTTCGTTTAAGAGAGCGTCAACATACTAACTAGTAGAAAGAGAAACAGAGGCATCAACATACTAAGGAGTAGAAAGAAAAACAGAGGCATCACGAGTGGAACTGATTGGGTCAGCATAATACATGTGGATTATAAGAAGGTCCGGTCAAAGATCAACAACTTATACTCCCTTCCTGTGGCATACTGCGCAGCCACACGGGCCTGCAGGGACCGACCAGACGGAAAATAAGGGCCCTACAGGCCCTGTGTCGTTTCAGCGTGAAAACCTGAAAACGAGGGCCTACAGGCCCTGTGTCGTTTCAGCCTGAAAGCCTGAAAACGAGGGCCTACAGGCCCTGTGTCGTTTCAGCCTGAAAAAGCCTGAAAACGAGGGCCTACAGGCCCTGTGTCGTTTCAGCCTGAAAGCTTGAAAACGAGGTCCTATAGGCCCTGTGTCATTTCAGCCTGAAAGCCTGAAAACGAGGGCCTACAGGCCCTGTGTCGTTTCAGCCTAAAACAGGGCCATCCAGACCCTGAGTCTTTTCAGCCTGAAACGGAGGGCCATTTTCAGGCCCTCATAAGATCGACCTGCCCTGAAACTTAGGCACCAGACCAGGGTTTTAGCACAGGCCATTTTGGGCCTGTTTTCAAGACAACCTTTGTTTGAACTTCAACGCCGGGGTCTGGCACGTTTTGGCATTGGCAAGAGTAGCCCACTGGACGGGCCAGCACTATATAAGACTGGCCCACCCTGCAGGCTGCAGGCAGTTCAGAGGGACTTCCCAGGCAGTTCACAGGCACTTCACGTGCAGGACGCAGGAGGCAGTCTTCAGGATTTGGCAGCAGCACTCTGGAGGAGTGCTGCAGTAGTAGTAGTAGTAGCGTTAGGAGTAGTCTTCAGCGCTGGGCGCCATTAGGAGCTAGAGTAGCGTTGGAGAGAGAGAGATGGTTGCCGGAGGCCAGGGAGACTTACATATGGCGCCATAGCTCCAGCTTCGTCTTCGATGTACCTGCAACCAGGTGCCACCTTCACAGGTTAGTACCGGACTGAGAGAGAGAGAGAGAGAGTTCTTCTTCTTCCTCTTCTAAGTCCACCATCTCTCCCTCACCCTCTCGCCACCTGACTTCTCAGTATCTGCAGACTACGAGAGAGAGAGAGAGAGAGATTGGTGACTTTGGGACTTGACGACATTTGGATTCAGACTCGACATTGGGATTGAGACATTGGACGAGGGATTATTTGGAACCTGTAACGAAGACTTGGTGTTGACGACATTCCCATCTTCCCCCTCTTCTTCGTCTGAACCCCTCCTCTTCGTCTGTGTATGGTCTGGACCTGGCGCATTCTTCCTGTGTGTAGCGCCAGGCCCTTCACACCTCGCGATGATGATGATGTATGTTGGGTCTGCATTGCGACATTGATTGGGCTGATCATTGGTATTTTAGCCTTCCGCTGCGCTATCTTGTACTATGTGAGAGAGGTCAGTTCTTGTTCTGGTCTGTACCATTACGGTATGCGACACTTCCCCTTTCCTCCATGTCCTATCAACGCTGTTAAAGACCAAAATTGCACACACTTGTTTTATTGCCAAACAAGCAAGGGGTTCACCAGGAGGCATTCCAAATCCACTACATAGCTGGACAGTTGACCATGCACTCTCCCAGTCTAATTTCCCCCTCCCCAAACCTCCTTTTTTTTGCTGCGAGTTCCATCCAGCCAAGCTCCCTTTCCTCCAACTAGATCCGCATGATACCTTGCATCTGGTCACAACCAGACCGATACCTTCCATCTGGTCAGAACCAGACTCTCCAGGGCTATCAGACTGTCAGATCTGTTACCCCACTTCTGGTCGTCAATAACTCTGGCAAATCAGAAAAAGAGTGAAATCAGAAAAAGAGTACGATACGTTTCTCTAAATACAATTAAAAGTCAGTTTCAGTCTGTTAGGAGGAGTGATAGCAGGTGCAGCATAATAGAATGAAAGCTGCAAAATGTCCCGCAACATTATGTTACCACGATGTTCAGCCTGAACAATTCTGCACCCACCTGTCTGGCCAGACTATCTGGAAAGAAAAAAAAAGGGGAGACGAGTGAGAGAAAATGGATTTCAGGGCATAGGCACACACTAGGGCTTGTCTGACTGAGCTCTGGACGTGATTACAGTCAGATGCATGCAGGTCTGGCCGTAATTGCTGTAGATACTTTCCGGGAAGTGCTACCGTCTTCACCCGAATGGAAAACCCCGTTCATTATCCCTGCATCGGGACTAAAAGCTGCGCCAAATACAGATATAATGACCGGGCACTCTATTCGGGTGAAGACGATAGTCTGAGTATGCCCTCAGCAGAGTCTCCAAATGTGGGTTTAAGTTGTTTAACTCATCTCGAACAATTGCCACAGAACGTGTTCCCAGAGACTGTCATTCTCCTGCAGGCTTATGCGACCCTTCAAACCAAACCCCGTGTGCACAGACCAATCAGCTGAACAGAATGCAACCACCCAATCAGCTGAACAGAATGCAACCACCCGGGGAGATGAGTGAGACAGAATGGATTTCAGGGCATAGGCGCACACTAGGACTTTTCTGACTGAGCTCCGGACGTGATTGCAGTCAGATGCATGCAGGTCTGGCCGTAATTGCTGTCAGATACTTTCCGGGAAGTGCTACCATCTTCACCCGAATAGAACGCCCC